CCAAGGCAAAAACATATTCAGCAGTCCTCTGCACTCCACACAGGTTAAGGACTATGTTGATCCTGACTGTGCACTAACAGAGATATGTCTTAACGTGTCCGCTCTTTCCAATACCAATTCTCTCTACGTAACTCTTACCTCTAAATCTTTTCCAAACACTTCCCTTACAGTTTTAGTAGACTCTGGATTGTCAAATTGTTTTGTAAACACCAACTTTGTGAATACTGGTCAACTTTCTCCCTATATTGTTACTCCAATCCAACTCCAGTTATTTGGCGGAACATCAAACTCCGTTATCACTAAGACAGTAGACTTACCTGTCCATTTTCCTTGTGGAAAAGTCACTCCCACTACCTTCTATGTCATCCTGCTCCACAGTTCTGGGATACAATTGGCTCACCCGCTACAATCTGTCAATTGACTGGGTACTGAACAATATCTCATTCCGTTCTCCGGAAACCTTAAATGCCCAACCAATGTCAACTCCAATCTCCGACCCTCCGACCCCAATTGTGTCCCTCTGAAATGCAGCTGCCTTTCAACAGGCTTGAAAACTCAGAGGATTCACCCAGTTCACTATGCAATTGTCCCAGCTCCGGGCCTCCTCCACTACTCTGGAAGCTGTGGACTTATCCTCTGTCCCCTCCAAAATCTCATGACTTTGAAAGCGCCTTCAGCAAGGCCAAAGCCGACAAGCTTCCACCTCATTATTTGTTCAATCTTCAGATTGCCCTGGACAAAGGAGCTTCTCCTCCGCTTTCTCCTATCTACTCCTTATCACAAAAAGAACTGGAGACTCTCCAAACTTTTGTGGAAGAAAACCTGGCCAACAGGATCATACATCCCTTTTCCTCCAAACATGGAGCCCCAGTGCTCTTTTTTTGGAAAAAGGATGGTTTCCTCAGGCTCTGCTAGACTTCCAAGGCTGAACAAGATCACAAAGAAGAATTGCTACCCACTTCCCCATATCTCTGACCTCCTAGATACTCCGAGTTGTGCCAAAATCTATACCAAGCTCAACCTCCAATGCACCTATCATCTAGTCCGGATTGCTAATGGGGATGAGTGGAAAACCGCTTTCCAAACCTGCTACAGATCTTAGAAATGGCTGGTGATGCCTTTTGGGCTCACCAACACCCTTGTAGCCTTCCAGTGTTTATCAATACAATATTTGCTGACCTTCTTGATGTCTGCATCATTGTCTACCTTGACAATGTTCTGGTATTCTCCAACAACCCCAGGCAGCACGTAGCACATGTCCAGGAGGTGCTCTAATGGCTCTGCACCAATAGATTATATGCATACCCCAACAGATCACAAAGTCTAAACCATCCAGGACTGGCCCAAACCACACCAAATTAAGTACATGCAGTCTTTTCTGGGGTTTGCCAACTTCTACTGTTGTATCATCAACAACTACTCTGGTATTGTTGTTCTGCTCACCCGCCTTACTTGGAAAGACACCCCTTGAATTTTTCCAACAATTGTCAAAAATCCTTTGAAGCACTGAAAAATGCCTTCACAACTACTCTGGTCCTCTGCACTGGTTTCTGGACACTCAACTAATTGTGGAGACCAATGCTTTGGATTACACCATTGCTGCCATTGTTTCAATCTTGACTCTGGATGGAGAACTCCATCCAGTGGCTTTCCACTCCCATACCCTTACCATCCCGGAGCTCAATTATGACACTCATAATAAGGAACTGCTTGCAATTTTTGAAGCATTCAAAACATGGCAACACTACCTCAAAGGTTCCGCTTCTCTGGTCGGTGTTGTTACTGACACAAGAACCTGGAATACTTCTCAACAACAAAACTCCTGACCCAGCAACAAGCCTGCTAGTTGGAGTTCCTCTTGCAGTTCAACATGATTATCCATTTCCAACCAGGACATCTTGGGACTAAACCAGACGCCCTAACTAGACAACGGGACGTCTACCCCAAAAAGGGGGATAGCAACTACGCCAGGGTCAACCCACAGAACTTCTGACTGGTCTTCACCACCAAGCAACTAGTTTTGTCCTTACAGGCCTTGTCCCTAGCCAAACCAGTACTCCAAGCCATCTCTGTTATGGACTCCGAGGTGCTCCACAAGGACATACTTGCCTCCCAGCATCCATGTATCCTCAATGAGAACACCTGGCATGTGATATGGCTCTACAAAATCACTTATTGTGCCATGCTGTAACAGGATCACACTAGGGCGTGAATTCTGTTCCTCATTGCTTGCAACGCACTGCAAGATTTCTTGTATGCAACCGAGCTGTGGGGAATTGCGTTGGCCTCAGATAAGAACCCAGCTACCGGTGGTACATGTGACAACACCAACAAGACACAGTTTTGGGGCACTGGAGCACAATAAAAACAAGACTCAAAAGAAGAGGAAGAGGTGGGAGTGGTTACCCATTAGGATTTAACAAGTTAGTTGTTGGTAGACAACAGGAGGACTCGCTGAGTCCTTCCCCATGTATTGCTCCTGTATATATACTAAAATACATGAGGTACTGAACAGTTGTAAATAAAGTTCAAAGTCCGATGTTTAGCATGTGACCAGTCACATGGTGAGCCTAGACACTGGTCAGGTGATGTGTCACATGACTTGGTCATGTGACTATGAAAAGTCAAAAATGTAAAGTAAAAGTAAAAGTGCAAAAAAGTGAAGTGTAAGTAGGTACTGGTACGTCAATTGTAACAGTACACATATCTCCATTCCACAAAATAACAGATTTTGCTGTTTTAAATGGACAAGTCTGCAACTGCGCATTAAGCGCATTTGGAAAAATCTTGCCCGCTTGTGTATTAGAATACAGCAGTGGAGGGTTTTTGTTGGTTGTACATGTCCCATATCCCGAGGTGTTCATGGTGTTCATTCCAAGATAGTCTGTAATGATATTTGGCTGCTCTACCAGAGCTAAAGGACCATCACCTGCAGATCGCTGTCATGCACCAAAGTTGATTGGTAGCATGGACAGGTGTCAATAACGAAGCGAATATTCAAAAAGACTCGCCTTTGTGCCACACAGGCACAGTGCCACATGGAATAGTAATTAATATTGCCTTTTTCAAATTTGTGGCTGATCAGCACCACCTCTATTAGGCAATCCAGTAGCGTTCACCTTTGCTTTTCCCTTCAGTACTTTCCGCATTTCAGCATTTCAGCAAATTTTTGCGTCGCCACTGGCTACACATTGTGCCCTCGCTTTTGTCGCCCTTCCTTACCTTTTTTTCTTTACTCAGTCCCACCATGGGACCCTTACTCTCTTTTTTATTCTCACCCAACGGTTGCTTCTGGATCCCTATTCTGGTTCACCTCCTTGTCACCTCCACCCTCCTCCTTCTCATCGTCTTTGCTCCCCCACCATATCTGATGTCACCACTTTCTATCCGTTTTCATCGCCAATCCGTCAACCACCATGTGCTGCTGCTGATATCAGCAAAGCCCCAGCGGCCGGTCCATATAGGACAACAGGTCCGTCTTCATGACGTCGATCTACCATCATATACTATCAAAACATCGGTCGCTCATCTTGCCTGGTTGGAGTGTGGGTGGGTAGTTTTTGAGCTGGAGAAGGTTCATCCCCTTGCGTTGCCCATGTTCATTGCTGTCCCATTCACTTGGGTACACTTATCTTTTGTCCATCGTCTTCACTACAGCTACAGCTACCACACGCTGCCTGGGACTCACTTGTTCCAAATTGGAACTACTCCCCTCCCTCCCTCGTTTGACCAGGTGGTCCAGTACAACCAGTCCATTGGTAAGGCCATGGAACTGCCGGATTTGGACTAGGTGGTGGACCGGTGGCTCCAGTTTCTTTTTCTTCAGCAGAACATTCATTTACAGTGCAATTATTTTTGATTTTTGAATCATTTTTATGGACACATATTTTTTAGAATGCCTGACTGACAATAAAGTTACCGTGCTGATACTGATATTGTTTTTCTTTATCCTCTTTTTACTGCGTTTTCCCATGACTTTATGATTTTCTTGCTTTTTTTCTTTTTTTGGACTTTATTTTATGGCTGTACAAACCTGTGACATTACTTACACAGTATTTATTGTTCTATCTCTTTCTTTTCCTTTTTTTGACAATCTTGTCCTGTACTACCTACACAGGATTTGTCAGCATACATTCCTTCCTTCATGTTCTTTCTCATTCCTTTTGCACAGCTATACTGTGCATAGCCTCCCTTTCTTTTACTATATAAACCCCTGTATTTTACCTTGTAAAAAACAACAACAACAAGAAATCCAATCCAGACTTCTTCTCTAAATCTCAAGTTCACTACTCTGCTACTTGTGATCCAGATCCAGTGTGGTCACAACACTTCCCACTGTTACTACTGTTGACTGCTGTCATCACGACTCGTCACTTTTGAAAGTGATTGTCATCCCTTTCAATTAGAGTCCTTCTGAGCACTACAGTCTGTGCGTCAGGAGCCTGCCATCACTGGGAACCTCGTTATCTTGTCATTCTCAAACCTACCTTGTGCTAAGATTAGCAAGGTAGTGCTCATCCTATATTCGTCTCAAAAATCCCCTATCTTCTATAGTTCAACTATCCCTCCTTCTCAAAACCCACACCCATACATCTCTGGGTTTTACTTTGAAGGATCCTCATACATACCACCCCATGAACAACCAGAGCACCCACTGTTCTAGGAGGCAAAGCCCATAAACAAGTTCTGTGGAATCTGGGAGGATTGTGTGTTAGTTTGTTTTGTGTGTGGTTTTCTAACAACAGTTCTCATCATCGACAGTGCTACATTTGTTGGTGCACTATCTGTTCCTTTTACACGACACACCCGACAAAAAAATTTGCCTGCAAGGCCAATATGACATGCCAGCTAGCTTTGCATTGGATTGTCTTCAAGTAAAGCAATAACTGATTGTATCACCAAATCATCTTCTTTGTGCACGCAGTCCCATGACCATATTCCTGTGTTCCAACAATCCCTACAAAACATTAGTTATTATGATAAACAGACAATGATTGCGACTACTCTAGCTGATCAACAATTCCATCTAACATCTCCAATAGTGGGGCCAGATTCAAAGTGCAGAGAAAATGAACATTGAGTTCTTGGTGGACGTGCGTGTGTGGAAGGCCAGCTGGCGTGAATAAGAGAGAATTGTGCTTGTTCCACTTCTTTGAGGTATTCCCCAAAGTGTCATTGCAATAAAACCATATGTGGAAGCAGTATACATGATGGCCTTTTGCAAGAGCCCTCCACTGGTTACCCTGTTGTGCATCAGTATGTGTCCATGGCTGTATGGGACCATCAACAGTAGATAGTGTACCTGAATATTTTAAGACAAAACAACCATAAAATCATACAAAAGAAATGTACCAAGAATGTTGGTTGGATTTGGTAAACTTTGTGTGGAATAACTTGATGTCCACAATCCAAATGATACAAGAAACATATCCTCTGACACATCAATCTCATTATATTCTTCAACAACCCAGCCGCTGCTCACTTCACCCACAACTGGTTGTAGCAGCCAGGCCCTAGCAAATAACTTATGTTCACAAGTGAACCATCCAAAAGGCACACAGGCATGTCCATCAGCCAGGAAGCAAGGTTTGTGTATGAAGAAGTGCTGGCTGCCTATATTTGCCATAGGTATAAGCTTGAGTGGTTCTGTTTCACGATGCCAGTCCGAAGCTTGCCAGTACTCAATGACCTGTTTTCCTGCATCTTCAGGGTAAAACCGAAGATGTTCTCTTACACAAGGGTTTGCCATTTCCTAAGGTTACAAGTCAGCGCACACCAAAGATATGTTATAAGAACATACCTGTGCGATGATATCTGCCATTGGGTTGACATAGTATTTATCACCAAGCGCTCCATCATATGGTACTGTCCTTATTCTGCACATAGTCTGCAGTCTTTTGTCCATATCCTTCATCACTTTTACAGATGGCACATCAGGGACTTTGTTGACTTTGAGTAACCAGAGTAAGATATCTAACTGTCACTGAGAGAAGACAGAGCGAGGTAGGTGCATTAGTACATCAATTGTACATGCCTAGAAAATTTTATATGTCAGTACATCAATTAGAACTAAGAAAACTCACCAGTTTAGATCAAGTCCTTAGATAAAATTTGAGTAAGATATAAGTACTTACATTGTGCAGTTTGGGGAGATGGGAAAGAAACCGGCTGGCTGGTCATCCTGGTGTTGAACAACAATGAAACCTGGAGGATTGATGAGTTGAAGCTTTATGTCCGCCTCACCTGTAAATATGGGATGATGGTTATCAGCAATGTGGGGGGTTTCTTAATACATACCAGTGGCAATATGTAACAACCCCAGGAAGTGGGGGGGTCTGGACAGGCTCAAGGCTAGAGCCACACTATACTGAGGTTGTATCCGAAAACAACCTGAGGACAAACTGAGGCTTCAACAGTGGCTAAGCGCTACTACAAACCTGGTTGTCACACAGGTAAATTCCCATCAAGTTTATTCTCATTGGTGACAGTTATCTATACAAATATTTTACGCTTTTCTTTTCTACTAAGCTCTTATTGCCTCTTGTGTGACGCAAAAATATAAAAAGGTAATTTCAACCTTAGGTTGGTCGCCAGGTCTGGCCGTGTAGAGCCCTCTGTCACATCGGAAATATTGGCACTCACACCATGCTACAGCAAAACAAAGTCAGGGTTCAGAGCGTCATGGATTTAAGCGCCACTTTGAACTGGTCAAAACGGTTAGCGTCATTGTTACAATAACACATTTTCGGACCTTTAACTTTCATTCTCCTCTTTAACCTTTTACTGTAGTTTTCTCACATTGTGCCATGCGGCACTTTCCCTTTTGTTCAAACTCCTCTTTCTCGTGCTGCGCTGCCCTTCTTCTTATTTTAGCTACAAGTCTCTCACGCAGTGGAGCTGGTCACATGGGCTAGGCCCCATGACATTATCAGCCACTGCCTCTATCAACTGTACAGTACACATGTACAAACAAACCTGTAGTAGTATATATAGACCAATAGATCAAGGAGACTCCTCAGCGAGTCCTCCTGTTGTATCCTCACAACTAACTTGTTGAAGCCTAAAGGGTAACCACTCCCTTATCATCCTCTCTATAGCTTGTCTGAGTTGTGCACCAGAGTAACAAACTCTTGGTTGTTACATTAGGACTTGCTCTTTTTACTCTCTCGCACGTTGTGCAAACCTGGACCCCAGGGTTAAGGGGATAGAATTATTGTTTGGGAATATCCCACATAGCAGATAGGTGCGGCTCCTAGCGACGGCCTTGTAGTGCTTTGGGAGAAGAGACAATAATTATTGATACACAGCCCCCAGTGTTAAGGGGAGTACTTTAGCTCAGCAATAGTGTGGAACTATTGTTGATTAGAATTTACATACCAATTTTCACTTTCTCTTTCCTCTGACCAGGCCGGGCATTTGCCTCCACCAGTCTGGAGAAGGGCTGACAGCTTAACAAGCAGGCCACCCCCTGACAACCGTTTGGACCAGGGTTTATTACGAATACTTTTTATATACATTTTCAAATACTATAGTGTGGGTAGTCGGAGATTGAGATCTGATACTCAGCTGGGAAGAGGTAGATCCGCAGATAGCAAGCGGGGACCCTCAGTTACGTTTTTTTTTACTTTACATTACAAAGAGAAGAAGTCAACATGTCATTGCAAACTCCTGACGTCAACACTCTGTTGCACAGCATGCATGCACAGATTGTGATGTTAATCACGCAACTCGCCAATCTCCAGGCAAACCCCCCTGCAGCAGCCCCCTCGGTGTCGATGATGAGAACTGTTGTTAGAAAACCACACACAAAAACAAACTAACACACAATCCTCCCAGATTCCATGGAACTTGTTTATGGGCTTTGCCTCCTAGAACAGTGGGTGCTCTGGTTGTTCGTGGGGTGGTATGTATGAGGATCCTTCAAAGTAAAACCCAGAGATGTATGGGTGTGGGTTTTGAGGAGGAGGAATAGTTGGAATATAGAAAGATAGGGGCTTTGTGGCGAGTATAGATGAGCACTACCTTGCTAATTGTAGCACAAGGTAGGTTTGAGAATGACAAGATGACGAGGTTCCCAGTGATAGCAGGCTCCTGACGCACAGACTGTAGTGCTCAGAAGGACTCTAATCGAAAGGGATAATAATGACTTTGGAAGTGACGAGTGACAATGACAGCAGTTAACAGTAGTAGCAGTGGGAAGTGTTGTGACCACACTGGATCACAAGTAGCAGAGAGTAGTGAACTTGAGATTAGAGAAGAAGTCTGGATTGGAGTTCTTGTTGTTTTTACAAGGTAAAATACAGGGGTTTATATAGTAAAAGAAAAGTAGGCTATGCACAGTATAGCTGTGCAAAAAGAATGAGAAAGAACATGAAGGAAAGAATATACGCTGATGAATCCTGCGTAGGTAGTACAGGATAAGATTGTCAAAAAAAGGAAAAGAAAGGGATAGAACAATCAATGCTGTGAGTAATGTCACAGGTTTGTGCAGCCATAAAGTAAAGTCCAATAGCAAAAAGAGAGCAGGAAAATCATAATGTCATGGGAAGATGCAGTAAAAAAAAGGCAAGGCAAAACACTATCAGTACCAACACAGTTCCTTTATTGTCAGTCAGGCATTCTAAAAAATATGTGTCCATAAAAATGATTCAAAAATCAAAAATAATTGCACTGTAAATGAATGTTCTGCTGAAGAAAAAGAAACTGGAGCCACCGGTCCACCACCTAGTCCAAATCCAACAGTTCCATGGCCTTACCAATGGACTGGTTGTGTTGGACCACCTGGTCAAACGAGGGAGGGAGAGGAGTAGTCCCAATTTGGAACAAGTGAGTCCCAGGCAGCGTGTGGTAGCTGTAGCTGTAGCAAAGACGATGGACAAAAGATAAGTGTACCCAAGTGAATGGGACAGCAATGAACATGGGCAACGCAAGGGGATGAACCTTCTCCAGCTCAAAAACTACCCACCCACACTCCAACCAGGCAAGACGAGCGACCAATGTTTTGATAGTATATGATGGCAGATCAATGTCATGAAGATGGACCTGTTGCCCTATTTGGACCGGCCACCGGGGCTTTGCTGATATCAGCAGTGGCATGTGGTAGTCAACGGATTGGCGACGGAAGTGGATAGGAAGTGGTGACATCAGAAATGGTGGGGGTGCAAATAAGATGAGGAGGAGGAGGGTGGAGGTGACAAAAAAGTGGATTAGAATGGGGATCCAGAAACGACCGTCAGGTGAGAATAAAAAAGAGATGAAGGGGCCCATGGTGAGGCTAGGCAAAGGAAGGGGAGTAAGGGAAACGACAAAAGCGAGGGCGCAATGCAATGTGTAGCCAGTGGCGATGTGAAAATTTGCCGAAATGCCGAAATGCGGAAAGTACCGAATGGAAAAGCAAAGGTGAGCGTAACTGGATTGCCTAATAGAGGTGATGCTGATCAGCCACAAGTTCGAAAAAGGCAATATTAATTACTATTCCATGTGGCACTGTGCCTGTGTGGCGCAAAGGCGAGTCTTTTTGAATATTCACTTCGTTATTGACACCTGTCCATGCTACCAATCAACTTTGGTGCATGACATCGGTTGGGAAGAAATTCAACAAGAGAGTTGAAATTGTCGCTGACCCTAGCGCCTTTGAAGGAGACAGAGCATGATTTGCCAAATGGTGGATCAAGCTCCAGATTTGGGTCAAGGCAAACTGGGATGTGTTTGCCAACAATTTTGAGGTAGCCACTGCGGTGCTATCTCGGCTAAAAGGACCTGTGGCGGGTCAATACACCCAAGTTAGATTACAGGAGTGCTACACGGCGGGAGTGTGGCCCACCTGGGACAATCTCAAGATAGAGATCAAAAAATATTTCAAACCCCAAGCTGAGCGTGACTGGTCGTGTCAGCAGATCTGTACCTTCAAGCAAGGAAACATGAGGACGGATGATTCCGTAACCCAGTTCCTGGCCCTCTTGATCCAAGGGGGCTTAGGAAATGAACATGCAGTGGACCTGCTGGAACGCAATGTGAACCCCCACATTGCAGAACAGCTCTATCTGCAGGATATGAGGAGTAACAACCTCTCCCAAGCAGCGGAGGAGGTTCAGAAAATTGGTAGGGCCATAGAGCTCTACAAAATGCACCAAGGTGGCGGGTCCACCAACAAAAACAACTTTTCCCAGAGGAGCCCTGGGTCATCAAACCATCAAAAATATTCTCACGGGTTCCAACCAGAACGGGGTGCTCCAATGGATATCGGTGTGGTCCAGGGCGGACAGAAGCGCAGATTCACCTGCTTCAGCTGTGGGCAAGAGGGGCACATGGCCCAAGATTGTACAAATGGAGCGTGGGCCGCTCAACAAAAAAATAACCAAGGGCACCAGGCGCGCCAACTAGAAACTGAGAAACCGGATGATTGGCTCCGGACTCTGGCCGGACATTCGTACGACAAGATCCGGGCCTTCTTTTACAACCAGCAGGTCGCTGAAATGAAGACCCAGGGGACTCTGGCCAGACATTTGTACAACAAGATCTGGGCCTTCTTTTATAACCAGCAGGTCGCTGAAACGAAGACCCAGGGAAAAGAGTTCGGAGCTTAGGTCACTTGGGTGCCTTCGCTCCTATGAACAATGAAGTAAACCACAACAAGGTGGCCCCTGCTCCAGGGTGTTGCATGAGCAATAACGGAAAGAAGGGGATGGCTCCCCAATTTGTAAATAGATTCTTAAATTTGTTATCAGAAGTATGTACTTATATGCAAAACTGTAACTGTGGATTCATAAACCCTCCTGACGATATAGCTGCTTTGAGCGCTGATTCAGGAGGACATGATGATGAAGGAGCTGCTGTTGAAAATACCACCGCCGCACCAGCGTCCCCCCCGGAGTGTGGCCCCAGCGAGACAAACACTAGGGTGCTTGATTCTGGTAAAAATAAAAATAAAAACATAGATAATCTTAAAGTAGAGAAATATGTTTCTTTTGATAATTCTTTTTCTTCTATGGAGCCACCCTTCCCCGAAATCCCAAGGCATGTGTTGATGCGCACATATTTATTCCAAAAGGAGATCCATTTAGATGTTGGTGTGGAGAACCTTGCCCGGGGCATAGTACACCCAACCAGCGCACTGCTTGATTCAGGCACTAACGGAATCTTCATAGATCAGGTCTGGGCGGAGCAAATTGGACTCCCCC